CAGATTAGTACGGTACTAGATTTCTACAATTGTTATTTCAAGAATGTTGCATAAGGAGTTGTTTATTTCTCTTTTACACAAGTTTTATAGTACGTTTTAGTAAACAATGGATTGTAGAAAGTATTAAAAGTGACCTACATGTTTCATTAACATGTCAACTTAATGTACAAATAACGATCTGGTACAAAACTTTGTATAATTTAAGAAATTCAAATTTTTTTCCAAATTACAGTTTTAAATAATCCTGTAAAGCATGTAATTGATGTTCAAAACGACAGTTGTATGAATAATCTGTACAAAAAAAATTGTATATAAATACATGCAAATTATGACGATATTCAATTTAATATTGTAAATGTGAACGTTATTATCTTATATTTACTGTTTGTGTTTGTTTTTTTATAAAATATGATAATCGATAGAAGTTGCTGAAATTTAAGTAGCTTCGTAATTTAGTTTGTATTTATTTGAGTTCATTACCCTTCTCGGTCTGGTACATTGTATTATGGAAACACTCGAGCAAAAGTAACGGTCCGATAATTAATTCAATCGAACAGCCTTAGATCTCTAACCTTGTGCTTCTAAAGTTATCGCTGTAATACAGTGACAAGTAAGATCGTGTGTGTATGTAAATAATTGATCATATATCAAAGTAATCAATACGAGCTACGTATTCCTTGACATTGTAATCCTGGCAATGTTCCTGCAAGTTTGTTTCTTTTCCCGAATTCTCTCTCTTCCTTGCTCTTTTCGTCGAGATTTTCAACATTTAGAAATTAGAGTAATTACTGAAAAAGTATTTAAACACAAACAATGTCGAAGTGAAACTTACACATTCGAATCATAATTTTTACTTTATACATAAATGTTAGTTTCTACACATATTTTGTTCTAACAGTAAATGTTTTCGTATACATATAGCAGTATAAAATAACGGAAAAAATTGTAGCGTTTTATTTTGTAAACAGCGTAATAGCGTTTGTAAATTTGTTGTATTCAAAATATTTTGCAGAATCGAAAGTGACATTTATAATTTTTTTAATTCTATCGATCTTTTATTGATGAGACTATACAATACAATATGTGTTCATATGAAATATTCAAAATCGTATCTTTTCATTTAGTAATACTGTGATAAAAAAAAACATCCACGCTTTTATGTTGTTTATGAACAGTATGGATTTTACTCTTTCGTTTCTTATTTACGACTTACAATTTTACAAAGCAGTA